CCGGAATAAATGACCCTCAGGATGTTTTGTTCTGTGGACGGACAGAGCCTGGCCACGTGCTATGGGAATTCCGCTATGAAAACTTAAAAAAGAAAGTGGATTCCATCAGAATATATATTTTGTGCAACAAGGACACCATTAAGACAGTAAAAAGGCAACACAAGGCCAGCGGGTGGTGTGGTGGTTAAGGCGCAGGACTTCCTCATGGCCAACCACAGTTCGAGTCCCGGACCAGGTGGTTTGCTTTCTCTCTCTCTTTCTCTCTGGTGAGCACACATGCCCTATAGCAAATTTAAAATAACGATAAATAAAATGAAATAATCCTTAAAAAAAAGACAACATAGAAAGGGAGAAAATTCTTGCAAAACCCCCTCTGGTAAGGGATCGCTATTCCGAACACACGAACTCCGATCACTCAACAACAAAAACGAAGAGCCCAGCCCAAAACAGACAAAGGGTCTCAACAGACGTTTCAACAGAGAATTTGTCCACTAGGCCAATAAGCACCTGAGAAGTCGCTCGGCATCACTAGTTGCTAGGGAAACGCAGGTCAAGGCACGAGACCCTTCACACCCACAGGACAGCCGTTATTGGGAACCGGAAAATACCAAGTGTCGGCGAAGGCGTGGAGACCCTTGTATGTAGTCGATGGGATACCCGAGGGAACAGCTACCAGCAGCAACGTAGCGGCTCCTCCAACGAGCACGCTAGAATTAGGGTTCGCTGCAGCAACCCACAGCTAGGTGTCTACCCCAGAATGGAAAGCGGGGATTTGAACCACTGTCTGCACCGCCGGAGGTGGGCACAGTCGGTAGGCGGGTAAGCACAGGTCGACTTCAGAGAGGAGGGACAGCCTGACACACGTCACGACACGGACGGGCCCAGAGGACGCGCTCAGAGCAGCGAGCTCCACCAGGAGGTGTCTGCTGAGGCTCTCGCAGGAGCGCGGGCAGGGGCCCCGTCCCAGGAAGTGGGCAGACAGGAGGGGGCACCTCTCGGGTGGAGGGTGACACCTCCACATGCACCTGTGCAGACCCACACCGGTCCGAGCACGGGCACCTGGGGCCAGGCACTCCGGGTGGGCAGCAGCCCCGCTAACAGCCACGCCGGCAGTTGTGCGGAAGATGCCCACTAGTGTGGGCCTGCCACGGCCCCTGCCATGTGGTGACAGGCCTCCCAACGCACCCCGGGGTCAGCTGCCACACCGCAGGCTCTGGACCATATGGACATAGCGTGGCCCCGGCCCCTTGTGCTGGCTTTTCCTCTCCCTCCCACACGGACGCTGGGCCATTGCTGCTGTGGGGTGCAGCCCTGCAAGCATGCTGCAAACCCCAGCTGGGTGGGGCCCAGTTGTCAGTGTGCCCCAGCACACTGACCCAAATGGTGACAGCATAGCATCCCCACCCCGCACCGGGAGAGAGGCCACTGACAAAGGTTTAGAAAGCACAACGCTGGGAAACACCTCAGCTGAGCAAGAACGTGTGTTTGCGAGTCGAGCCTGCACCAGGAGGGACGGACTCCCCGAAGTGAGCTGTGGTGAGCTGTGTGCGGCTGTGGCAGGTGCCCCGCGGCAGAGACCGGGGCTGGGCTGCTTGCCAGCTCTGCTTCCCCATCACACCCGGGAGCAGGCCTGCCTGGTTGGACTTCCGCACTCACTGTCTGCCTGCGACCGAGCTGGGCGTGGGGGAAGCCCAAGCTCGGGTGGATTCTTCGCGGCCCCTCCACTGGCCCTGATCCCCACGACTGTGAGAATGAGGGCCGGCTGGCCCCAAGCGGTGCAGCTGATGCATGCAGAGGCTAGAGCTCGCAGCCCGCGTGCAGGGCCGGAGCCCTCGGGGGCACGCCTGCGCACGGAAGCTTTGCAAAACATTCTTAGGGCCTCGCGCAATTCATCCCTTTAAAGAAAAGGGAGTGGAAAGAAAGCTTCCGTGTCCAGGGCTCCAGGGCTTTGATCATTTGATGGACGCTGCATCTGCGGCGTGGGCCTCCGGCTTCTCAGGCCAGACAAAGGCCGCGCAGGCCGCCCAGGCAGGGCCGAGCCCGCGCCAGAACAAAACCCCGCGGCCTCGCAGTGTGGAGGCCTGGGAAAGGCCCACTTCGCAGGCGGCCACTCTGCCCTTTGATCTTTCCTGAGACCACAGCTGGGCCCCAGGTCGGGGGATTTCACACCGCAGGCCCCGGGGCAAGGGGGCCAGGTCGGGAACTGGGGGGTGACTAGTCCCAGGAGAGCCAGCCCTGCCCTCCGTGGCCAGTTCCACATGGCTGAGCCCACACCGATGGGCACTGGCCACACGGGGTGGGGTCTGCCCCAACAGTACGGCAGAGCCTGTGAGTAGCCAGGGAGGCCGCCCTTCCCCCAGTGTGGCCAGAAGTGGTCCCCCCAGGGGCCACTGCGGTGAGCACGGCACACACTAGGCGGGCTCCAAGCCAGGCTCAGTTCCTGCCAGTGGCTGGGGCCGGCCCGGGGGCGGGGCCAGGGGGGGGGCG